CTCCTTGATAAACTAACGACTGTCTCACGCTGTCCGAGGGTTCATTTGTGGTCTATAGAATACTCTTTTTTTAAAAAAGTCTGATAAATGAAAATATACGTGTCGTGACTTTAGAAAAGACTTATTACCACAGAAACGTGACTCGGGTGTTATGCAATACTCTTGCACTTCTGTGCAAAACGTTCCATATGGTCTCTGGAAGAGTACCGGATTTCGCAGTAACTTGCGTGTGGGCAAAAGAAGAGTTCGGTGTTTTTTTTTTGAGATCAAAATGGGTACTGAACTATTTATTGGTATGGTTTCGTTGAAATATGAAACACCTCTGCTGCTCTGATCACTTACTCGGATGACCTTCTCCCCGCCCCGCTGTCCCCCTTACATGGAGTCGGTTAACTTCAATGTCTCATCTCCTTAACCCTTGAGCAATGTCCATCCACCTTTTCGGGTAACTAATTCTGGCGTTTTAAACAGGAACAAGGTGAAAAAAGAACCACCAAATTCCCTGCTTGAAAGTTTCAACTCAAGTGTCATTTTGTTAAAAATTGCAAGAGTTTTGAATTCTCACCGTAAGTGTGTTTAATCACGACTTTAAGCAAGGATGGCTCTGGCGATTTTTGATCTGTATTGATGCACACATCTGTTTCCAGGCTTCATTTTGGTTTACCCTGTGTTTTACCCCCCTTGGTTTCCTATCAGCTTTGCTAAATCTACACCCTTCTGTGGAGTGAACAGCTGCAGTAGTTCTCTCCATCACTGCCGTAACGCGCACGCGCCTGTCTGGTCTATCCGTGGCTTGTCTGCTCTGTCTTTTCCCTGCCCGCCTGCCCGTCCGTTCACCCACCCATCGATGACTCACAAAACTAGAGTGGGGACAGGCAGCCGCAAGTCCCATACGCCTTCCATCTACTTTTGATGAGAGTAATCTAATAGGATGTCTTCGTTGCAGGTCTTTGGAGTGCCAGTTCGGTAGCGTCGCTCGGTGTGTCGCTACATCGCTCGTCCACCGTTCGCCCTGCAGCTGCGGGTCTCACAGATACTAACTCCCTCCTTGGACTTCGGCGGCGTTCGCCCTCGCCTTCGGTGTCTTCCAATGACTCAGCGGTAGAATTGATGCCGTGTGCCTTAACTAAGTTGGAGTGGATTCAAAGTCATCCCAGTTCTAGTCTGTAAGTCTTCTTTTTTAAATTATTTAACACTCTAAATGCTTAAGACCTGATAACTTTTAAATAAAAAAAAAATTGAAGGCTGATTTGTCAGTTTCACTTCATTACGTAGACTGTAAACGGTTTTTCGTTGCCAATAATGTTATCATTCTTTTCAGTCAGGTTTTACTACTTATAAATGCTACTGAATTAGGATTAAAATTGGTGGATCTTGTCTCAGTTGTGGAATATTGTGCAAACATGTATAATTAGGTGGGCTTTGCCACGTGAATGAAAGTAGACAAATTGGGCTGCACTAATGAACAGTGGGCCAGTCGACTGACCGAAGAATCTATCCATCACAAGGAGCATTCAACCGTCATAATGATTGTCAAATTGATTGAATTTGGTACAAATAAGGCTGCTAGGATTAAAAAAAGCATTCGTTTTACTTGTAACCTCATAGTCAGCTGATTTACATGTGTAAACGTTGGCTTGTGCATTGGCTAATGCTTAATCTGCACACATGCACAAACTGCGGTGGAGTCGGCAACTTCGAATGGATACAATACGAAGGCTAAATTGACAGTGCCTGTGACACTCACACATTTGTTGGTCTGTCTGCATGATTTGCGTTTTCAATGCACCCCTTGACCGATTGTAAGAGATGGTAGGTGTACATCAAAAGTGACGACAAACGAGACAATGATGCTGTCATCGGACCAGTTGCTGATGCATGATTGGTGTTTTAAATAGTCTGATTTTTTTTGTGTTTTAGCCCTTACAGCTTCTATGCCATCCAGATTTACCCGAATTAAGTGGGTTGGTGTAATGGTGCGACTAATTGGAACGGGCAACCTCACTACTAGCAGTTGACCTTAAAAAAAGTTGATGGAAGTAATCAACAAGATGGCTCATTTTCACTGGGAGATATTGGATTGCAGTCTAAGGTGATGCCAGTGTTTATGGAATACGGAGCTGAGTAAAAGGAATGCAAAGTAGTGCGTATTTGCAATCAGGCGTTGGGATGGATGTGATTGTGTCAGTTGGTCAACAGTTTGAAGCAGAAGTGCCTAGGTCAGCTTATTGCCATTACATTTATCCGCACTCATGCACAGGCACACACACGAATGTGGAAAAGCTTGCGGCAATGCGAATACCTTGGGCATCTACTTTTGCCATCACTGTCGTTGTCAGTGGCATTGACAGTGGCGATGACTAAGCACAAGCCTTGGTCGCAATCACGAGAAACGTTCAATAGCATGAAGGAAACGTTGGGCGTAATGGTGACGGCATACGTGTAGTCAATAAGTAGCAACAGAAAGAGGTGAAAGGTAGAGGAAAGAGGAGGTCTCACAGCTTCGTTGATACCGGTGAATAGATCGCCCAAACT